AAAAAAAAAAAAAAACCCAAGAGTAAAATGGAGAGAGAAAAACTTTTTAAAAAGTGGTAAATGGCAAAAGTATCTTCTAATATACAGTATTCGATGAACACAACTTCAAAAATGGCTAGATGAGGCACAGAGGCCGCCCTTGGCATCTTTTCTAAGTAAAGGATAAACAGAGAAGAAATGGAAATGTTACTCGAATATAAAATTCTAACAACAGGCTGTTAGAAATGGAGGCACACTCCCTGCATACAGTGAGTGCATCTATACAGTGGCACTTTCTCCTTAAGAATTCAATACCCTCGCCTTCATACCCCACCTAGGCTGTGACCCCAGCTTTTCTGAAGAGGTTGTCCCCAGAAGGCCAACTATCCTCAGTGGTACAGCTGGAGATGCACAGACTTCCATCTCGGGAAGCAAGGTATATTTAATGTACAAATACCCTCTAGTTAGGCCTTTCTGTGGTGACACTGAGAATTCCACTAGTCCTCATATTCTATTCTAGGGCTTTCGCTCAAATATAAATTGACATTCAAGTAGTAGATGCTAATGATCAAGACAGAAGCCCTCAAGTACACAAATGACTGTCCCCAGAAAACCAAATAAAATGCTGACAATTTTTATTGTCAACCAATTTCATTTCAAATGAAAATTTCATTTCGTTCTTACTTCAGAAAGAATATTACTGGAGTGGGTCTGTATCCAAGATATTGACATCACACACAAAAAGTCCATTTTCACAATACTTAGGTCTCGTTATGATCTGCTTTTCAAGACTCCCTTTAGGGAAGGCATTTTTTCCCTCTCCTAAAGACACAAACTCATCAGAATATTAATCACCAGAATATCTGTCAGCAGAAGTGGAGGGAGGGAAATAAATTTGTAAGTGCTTAGGATATGTCATTTGGTCAATGTAACAGTTTCTCTCTGTTCTTCATGTCCTTTTAAATACAAGTATCCTAGTCCAAGATGGCAACAGAAGGGTTCAACCACACACAAGAAAAGACTCATAAAATAGAAGCATGCAGCACCATCACAAAAACAAAGAAACCCAGTGGAAGAAGTTGCCCTGACTAGCCCATTGTGGCTACTTCTTGCAACATGCCTGACATTCACCAAAAAAACTCTTCCTCATTAACTCCAGCCTTCAGGCACAGAGCACCATGGGGACACTGACCCTTTAATACGTCTCGGGAAATTCTCTTCATCCCGACTCTTGTACGGAGGGCTCCCCAGGAACAAGACAAGCCTGGGTGGAAACTGCAAAAAAAAAACAAAACAAAACAAAACAAAACAAAACAAAACAAACAAAAACCCTACCATCTCATGATTCTAAATATGATGGTTTTCATGCATGATATGGTATCCTGGGGGTCTGAAGAAGGTTCCAAACCCCCCACTTGATGGGAACAGCTTAGCTGGAAGAG